TTTGTACAAAAAAGAGTTGTATATTTGGACAAATATAGGGCTTCTTTACAAAACTGTCCGACCGCTTATGTCAAAAAAGTATTTTATTCAAAGGTCTGCTTTTAATTTATTTTAAAGCATCGTATCTCAGTAAAGTAATATTTGTCAGTCATATATTGTGTATGATTTAAACTACAGTAAGACTGGAATGATTTGTGACGTCAAGGTAAAAAAAATCTAGAACATTTGTATAGATAAACTAATTCTTTAGTAAAAGATATATGTCGCGGGTCAGCTTAACTACGTAGGTAGTATCAATTAGATTTTTGTGTCAATGAGAAGTATCAATTAATTTTTTGGGTCAATGAGAATAATGAAAAAACAAAAGATACGATCCTGTAATAATATGAATGAATAAATACAAAAAATGGAAATATATTTTATAGCACAGAATGGCTGTGTTATTATTTTGAATAATGGCTGAGAAAGGCGGAAGGAGTAATGATTTGGTTAATGACCCCTGCAAAAGTAAATCGAATTCAGCGAAAAAAGAAGTATTTAATAACATCAACTGCATATAAGAGCCTGTAAAACTATCATTTTAAAACTGATATAATTTGCTCTGTGTGTGTATGTGTGTGTGTATTTAAAAATGATATTATCTAGGAGTTCATTAGAAATGTAGGTTAAGTATAGGTTGATACACATTTGCCAGTACTATGTAATAATTATATATAACCTATGACACATCCCCTCAGCTAAAAAAATGTCGTCCCGACTCTTCCAACTCGGAAACATATACACAACTAATATATACTGAAACAATATTGTTCAGCATAATTATATATCAACTATATAATAAACCACATAAATATTGTAGTAAATATTATCGTAAACTTGATTCACGAACTAGTACAATATTGGTTGGATTTAATACATATAATGTATAATAATACTTGAGCATATCAGTATCATCTTAAACAACACAAACGCACGTCGGCTTTATCACTATAGTCGAAATGTCATATTTTCGTGATATGGAAAAATCTGTACGTTACGAAAGCACCGATTATTGCGACATATGAACGCGTGTTGGAAAAACTTTGTTCAAGTATATGGTGTTGTGTCATATACATGTATGTATGCGTTTATATTTTTATATAATATATCAATGTTATAATTTGTTAGATTACGGAGTTTTCAATTGCATATTATAGTAAGTGTATATACAAACATTATCATAACATTTCACTTCACTTTTTATGCAATTGTCAACTATATACAGGTATCAAAAGTCATTCCATTCGTGGTAAGTATACGTTATCCATATATTCATTCACATCTTGGATTAAGGTAAGTATTTAATTTGAAAGTAACATCTAAAGAATTCTGATAATTTCCAGACTGTTGAAAGCAATACATTTCTCATGATAATTGAAGCTTCAATGTAGTTAACATACGTCATTAATCCAGATAATTTATGTCGTTACAATTATGTAATCATTTATTTTATAAACCATTGGACGGACTGTTGTCACTGAGGATTACGTCGATGTCGTTGTGGACGAAATTTTGCCGACAGAACTTCCTCGTCCATTGCCTGATTTCTTCTTTGAGGAATAATATACTTCGCTGATTTGGTTTAATCGGTATGTTTGTCGATGCTGCTTAGAGTGGTAAAAGAAGATTTCTATGAAGCGTTTTAATCTTTCTTGATTTTGGATTTTGTTGCTTGAACTTGAAAGACTGGTAATGTTTGGTCCGGTTGCGAAACTACAATGTAAGGATCTGATTCCCATTTGTCTGCTATTTTGTGTTTTTCTCTGAGTGCAACATTCAATGTTTAAACTATATCTCTTAGATGAGATGTAGCCGCTGTAGCCTTAATATCGTATTTGTCTTTATTTACTTCTGCTTTTTTGTCAGCTGTTTGTTAAGCTTTGTTGTAGGGAAGTGAAAGTTTGTCTCGAAGTTTTCTAACGTATTCGTTTCTGGATTTAGATGAGTTTTCTTCAATACAAATTCCAAGTAAAGCATCTTGAGCTAATTTTGGTTGTCTGTCAAACATGATAAAATATGGAGGGAAACCTTTGCTTTCGTTTAGATGTCTTAATTGCTTGTTTATGAAAATATGTTCTTTTTTCTCCTCGAAGTTTGATTTATTGACCAATAAATAGTTTATTTCCATGTTGTGATATTAATTATGGTCCATCAAAATAAAAAAGTGGCATTATATGCCATCTCTTTTTATGTTACTTTTTCATATTAAGCTAAAAAAATTATTTTCTTTCTGCCAATGCAAGTGCATCACATGACTTAGATTACACTGGTACGAAATAAGTTTGGCCATATTTAGAGAGAATATTATTCCTTGATAATTAAGTTGTTCCCTGAGAGCTTGAGAAGGAATGGTATTTGAATACATTTTGTTTTGAAAAATTGAAAGTGGTGTATCTAGTGAAAATGCATCGGTCTTAAAAAAGATTGGATGGGGTTCATTTTAACTATTTAATTTTTAATAATGTAATTGTGAGACAACTGCATGATTTTAGAGAACTTTCCTGAGTGGAAGCTTCCCTTAAAACTGTCTCTACTGCAGAAGGTAAAAGGACCTGTCCTTGGTGCCTAAAATATCTATGCATGGCGCCTGAAGTCTTTCTTCATCAGTTGTATAGTCGCCAAAATACTTTTATAGTGTTGGTGCAACTGACACAATCCCTCTCCAACTCCACTTTTTAGGCTATTCCTTCATAAAAATGATAACTTTTGTTTTGCGATATATCATTAATGGTTCTCAAAAGATACGTAAACAATTTAGGTAGGCAAGGCACTAACCAAAAATGAACAGTGTACATAAACACACTAAAAGCGATTCTAGAGAAAGCTCGAAAAGTATATTTAATTTAACTGAATTTCAAAATATTTATTCTGTTTCACTATCACCTATTACCTTTAATGTAAGTCTCAAAATACTTGTAACTTAAACGTTTACTAATGGACAAATATGGTTTGAATTTGAATAAACTGTAATTTGATAGCATGCTGAAAATTATAAAACAAATATGTGACATAAGTGAAGTGGTTTATTATACAATTGAAAAAAATGAAAAAAGGTAACTGTTGTCATTAATAATGGTCTGATAATACGAAATGTTACACACACCATCATGACAACTATTGTTTTCTGATATCAAACTGGCAATTTGATTCAGTAACCAAGTGAAAACTCTAAATTGCTATGTATAAAGCCGTTTTGTTTAGAGTTTGCACATTTACTAATCATTGGACAGGTATATTTTATTTGCAAATATTAAACTTCATATCAACGTTAAGGGATATACCTGAAACTTCTAAACACTATCATTTTTTAGAAACAAAAATCGGAAATATACTGCTCCAGAAACTATATTGTTCAGCTTGCATAGTTATGAATCTTTGATTGCGACAAGACTAATCCCGCATCAAAACAGCGTCTAATACCACATGCAATTCACATAATATTATACTTAATTTCTATGACCATCTGCAGTATTGTCAAAATAGATCATGCTTACATTAAAACATTAGGTAAAAAGATAAATAATTAGCACTCTGAAAAGCTATTTTCTTTTATTTGTTTTTTTTTTACATTTCGTAATAAACGTTCTGTTTAATTGATGTGTTAAGACAGAAATAAATGCACTGTCGATACCTGTTAGTATTGAATTGATTGTTCAATATTGCAAATTGCGGCATTTAGATAAAATTAGGAACATAAAATCACTTTTACTAGTTCAAAGCTTCTATGTTGGCGAACAGCTTATGTTTTAATTTGTAGATTTTTATTGAGCTCACACAAAGAAGAACAACACATTATTACAAATAGTTAAAAACACCATCCCGAAAAACAGAATTTCAATACAAGATGTGCCATTGGAAGTCAGGAGCTAATTATACAGTTATGATTCTTGTACAAATAAATGAGATTTTTAAAATACGTTACGTAGAATTAATGTTTTATTTGTACTTTTTTTCTAATTAATTAATAGTTCAACGATACTGATCTAGAATATGACACGCTTCTTTATAAGAATGCAAATAGTCCAGTATAATTAAATTACAAAGCTGTTGATTTTTACTAACATTGTTTACATCGATATTATTGGTATAAAAAGGTGATATACATGTTCTTACGTTTGCTAGCAGTGCTTTGATGTACAAACCGTGCTTGACAAAACTTTCCTTTTGTAAAGATCTATAGTTGTTATCTGTATCGGCAATTTGAAAACATTGAAATAATGAAACACTGACTCGATCAAAATTTGCAATGACATGTATTGATATAGTTCATTTTTGATTCAGAATTGCAGATCAGGGGAAATAAAGTGAAGGCAACGAAACATTATGGTATAAAGCAGAAAATCGCGGAATCATGTTAAATGTGTGGGGGATAATGAACATCGCACATTCTCCCATATCTGTCTCCCAACTCCGGCTTCAGCTTAAACAGAAATGAATTATTGGGGCAACTATTACAGCTGCCACCAGCACATGTTTCTGATAAATGTAGAACCCTCCGGATAGTGGATAACACATATTTAAAAGTAAGATGTGTATATGATTAGAACATAAAAAACAATTAACAGAAAAATACCAAGAATATAATAATGTACGTCATAAATATGATGGAGAAAAAAGAAAGAAAAGTACGTTATATGGAAAAAAAGCTTCAGTACTGTACGTCCTCGGTGAATCAGAGCATGCGGTCTTAAGTGTAGAAACAGCGGGTTATCTGTGGTCAATTATCGAAGGTTAAAAACCGAAATATGATGTTAACCTGAAACATTTCAAAATAGATGTAATTATGTTTTATGTTTTAGGTATCCAACACATTATGCTGGATAAAATGCTAATAATGTAATATGTAAATAATGTAATTTTGTTGCATAACTCTATAGCTTTATAATAGCTTTCTTTATTGTATTAAAAGCCCATTTGTAAGCGCTCGTTCATTCAATACAGAGAGTATAAAAGGAACGGAGTGAACAGGCAAATATTAATCGTGCCAACTAGATGCTGAATATTATATAAATGACATAACGCACTATAAGTTATGAATGGTTAATATACAAAAATGGATTTTCAAAACTGACTTTTATTATGCGAATACAAATGTGAAGATTAAACAGTTTTTATTTTTTAATAAAATAGATAGATACAAACTTAACTATAAACTTATAAACTGCTACAAAAACGATTGATATGGCATAAATACTATTCTATTCAATTTGTCATTTGAATTCTTTTCTCTCAATTTTTATTTCATGTCCACGTTTCGTGACAACAACTGGAATATTTATGACAATCAAAAGAAATTCTTTCAATCATGACGGAGGAATTAAAGCTCAAAATCGTTGATAAGATACTAACAATATACCCACCCATATTATTAAGCGTTGGACTTACAGGCAACATTTTATCCGTGATCGTTTTGGCACAGGCAAGTACTAGAAAAACTTCTACTGGTTTTATGTTGATATTCCTGACAGTTACCGACACATTGATTCTCATATATTCCGTTCTTGTGCGATGGCTGAACCATATGTTTGAGATAAATTTAAAGACATCTTCAAATGGTGCGTGCAGATTTCATATGTTTATTTCATATTTTCTGTTTCAACTGTCACCGTGGATTCTTGTGCTTGTAACAGTCGAACGAGTGTTCAGTGTGAAATATCCGCACAGAGTGAGGGATGTTTTTACAAGAAGAAGGGTAATTATTAGTCTGTTCATCCTTGTTTTGGTTCTTGGTAGTGTGAATGCCCATCTTATTTATGGATATGAACATGTTTATAAAGATATATATGAAGCATACTACTGTACAGCGAGTAGCAATTATGAAAATTTCATGTTTAAATACTGGACATGGATTGATTTTGTCCTTGCATTCGTCATTCCATTTTGCGTGCTTCTTTGTGGTAACATAATGGTTATACACAAGCTCAAATTGAGTGAAAGGTTTCAAAAAGCAAGCACGATTACAACACAAAGCGGACAGGAACCCAGAGGCAACTTAAATCGGCGAGGAAACAATACGGCGTCTAATTTCACAATAACCGCAGTCATATTGAATATAACATTCTCCTGTTTGGTCTCTCCCTTTTCAATCTTTGCAATTGGACAGCCATATTGGTTTCCACACAAAACACTATCATCAGAAGAAATAGTAAACTTAACGCTTATTGGGACAGTATTACTTATGTTACTACATACAAATAGTGCAATTAACTTTGTACTCTACATTTTTTGTGGGTCAAAGTTTAGGAGAGATTTTATGAATATATTTTGTAAGCGACAAAGATCAATGTCTGAAACTATGCTGGGCACGCAGAGCTTTCCTTCGCAATCTCTGAGCACAATAAACTATTAAAGCGTGACATTCTTTCGATTACACACAATTTAATGCTCTCTTTATATTTGAAATATCAATAGCTAAAATAAATTCAGATAACTTTATAAGTGTGATAAAATTGATGAATAGTTTCTATTTTGGCTTGTTGAGCGTTTTTACTATTTTATGAAGAAAGTGAAGTCTTGAGAGTCAGATACCTGATATAGGACGCAATGGAAATATAAAGCCTTAATATTTTACGGTGTTGGAATCACACAAAGACTTGATACAAAGAAGGTTTAGATTTGAGGCCTGTTATGTTGGATTTGTTGATGTTTTCTACCTTATAACAAAAGGTATTCCTCTTAAAAAGTGATCAGATGAGTTTTTAGCCATATCAAAGACATTAATTTACGTATAAATATCATCTGGTATCTTTCAAAAATTATTGCAGAGGAAGACCTAAGAACATTATTCCAGGCACAAGTCAGCATCTCAGTAAAAACACCGACCTTCTGTAATATAGATAGGTGGCCTCTTAACCAAAAAGAATCCAAAATTACTGATGTAATTTGAAGCCACATTTTCTAATATTGTAACGCATTTTACTTGAACAAAATGGAAAGATTTTTCCGGGAATCATTTTGCTTTAAAAATTCAAGTACATGTTTATTGTCATCAGTAAGATTTATAGAAATTATCTTGTATATTGTATGTATTAATAGAATTTATTCTCACGGTTACGCACCGCTTAATTTAAGTTGTCGTAAAAAATAGTCCCTAAACTGTATTGTAGGACAGCTTCATCGTGAACATTTTATTTTCTTAAGGCCAGCTAACAATCATTTTGGCAATTATAAAGCTTTACGGAAAGTTTTATTTCTGGTAAAGAAAGTCAGTTATTATTTCTAATTTGGAGGATGAGGTGGGTGATGGTGAATATTCCATTTTACCTCTTTGAAATGTTCTTGTTTTTTGACGTTGTAATCTTTGTCTTATAAGTATGAGAGTATTAATAGAACTCACCAAACTTTGAAATAATAATAAACGAATGCTTTTACTTCTTGCCTGAAAATATGTTTGAGATGTTATCATTATTTTCTCTTGAAGGAACTTGAAGTGTGCCACCCTTGAAACGCATATTAGACTGAGTTACGTAATTCTTCAAAATGTTTGGTGGTTCTACATGTTCTCAAATAAAATAATAAACTTATACTTTTTCGTTCAACTTGATTTAATTGTAATTTCATTTTTAAACATATTCAAATGCATTGAACTTTAAACTAAATATAAAAATAATATAAAACTCATCTTTTTCTTTTGTATAACATATCCTCCCACCTGCGTTTATAACAGAAATGCATCTGGACCTCATTGACAACCCACGATTTGAAAGAAGTGTGAGGAATATTATTCAATTACCTTCGGATTTTAGCTTTTAGGACCTGTAGTGTTTGCGGAAGGGGTCCATTATTTTGAGCTCCACCGAGACATTCAATATGACATGTATAACTATTTTAGTATTTTGTTTGCTGTAAAATATTTATATTTATTGCCAAACCTATAGCAAAGGAGCTTCTGATAATGTATGCAATTGTCGTACAATTAAAAATTAAATGGAATAGTAAAAGAACGTCATAAACTGCAAAATTGAAAAATGTTTCAAACTTGCGTATAGTGGGCCTGTTGATTAAGTCATGCTGTGAGAGAAAACCTAATCAAAATGTGAATAATTGTCATTCGGAGCATTCATGTTGATTTCCTTATCACAAGTTAGTTATAAAAGCATTCTGTATTATATTGATTCTATACTATAATAAAACGCACCCTTGATATCCGTTAAAACTGAATATTCATCACAAATTAATTCAATTAGGAAAATAGAAACACTCGCGCGGAAAATTATTATGATTGCAAGTGTGACAGCTTTGCTGTTGTTTATTTGATATTCAAAACATGCTAATTTCCCCTAAACAACAAGCCAACTAGGAAATACCGACGAGCATTGGTTGAGATACGAGTATGTTACATAACGTACTGTTATGCTTGGATATGTCCCACTTAAATATTGCTCCGTTATGTTTTAAATGACACGTACCTCATATGTACACCATAGGTACATCTGACATTCTAAAATAATTTGTCAAACGGTTTTGCAACGAAATAACTGGTAAATCTACTGTAGGGATTTTGCTCTTAAGTAGTTAAAAGAAAGAGATATACGAAATATCAATAATCTAAAAGCTTGTATTCCTTTTTTACCAAACTGATGGAAACAAAATTAATATGCAAGTACCACCAGTACAGTACCTGATTAGATAAAACCTTACTACAGTCTGATCAGGATCTCTGCTGTTTGCAGGGCAAGTTCCATATTCATCAATTTTCAAATAATCGTTTCAAATTAAAGCTTATGCAGGACAAACTTCTAAACTCATTTACAAGGCTGTGGTTAAAATAGATAAATACAGAATCCCTAAAGAAAGCCCAACACGGCAAAATTGAAAATGTTGCAGGCTCGGTTTGATTGAGCCTGTTCATGGACGGTACTGGAAAGTGCAAGTTACCGTCCACGCCCCCTAGCACCGGCTTAAGCAGAATTCAACATTTAAACATACAATAGTAAAATTTTGAATTTAGAAACATCCGCAGATGTGTTCATACGGCAGTTATCATGGAACCTTCAATGTGACACTTTCGTGCCATTCCATGAAAAGCGGCGTATGGTCCCCAAGTAATATAAAAGCGTGTGCCCTAAACGAGAAAACAATGGGCGGAACTAAATAAAATGGAGTTTTGAAAGGGGATCAGAGGTTATGAAGCCTGCATATCACAGATAAGACGTCAAAAGACAATTTAAAAAGCAGGCAAAACATATCCTAAGGGTGATTCAACATTATTCAAGTAGGAATACTGGAACCACCCAACTAGAAAATGCCGAAAAGTTGAAACTAAAAATAACACAAGCACAACAATAATGTCGTGCTGAACGATCTTCAAGGATCGAAAATATAACATCATTAAAACCAAAGAAAGATGTCATCAAAGATAACATGATAATAGAAAGCTGTGAGCCATGTAAAAGTAAAGAAACCTTTTTCTATTGTTGGACATAAATTCACTTTACATGATTGTATATTCACCGGATTTCATTTCAAAATTAGACTTTACACAATTCTTAAGACTGTTTATCGTTAATAGATTAAATCCTGAAATTTAGATTAATAAAAGTGAAAAAAATACTGTTACAATACAATACAATACAATAAAATGCAATACAATATTTAAAAAAACTTGACTTAACTTGACATATATAGATATAAGACTTGAGAATGGACCTATTAATGGACCATTAGTCAATATGTTTCCACCCGCTTAGCTCCAATGATAGAGCCTTAGATAAGTAATCCAGCTGTCGCTGGTTCGATACTTTCTCGAGTGAGGCGTATTTTGTCCGTGACAATTCATCTCGGAAATTAGGTCTAATGGTTATCTCACCGCTGAGTATGAAGTTAAGCGGGATAGGACGTCGATCGGAGAAAATGGTTAATACTGGTAATGTATCCTGGAAAACTTTTAAGGCTGATTCACTGACGAGATATGTCTAAAAGATATATCCAAATCGGAGTGAAAACAAGAAAAACAAACAAACAAACAATAATCAATATTATAACCAAAGGTGCCAAGTGCCCCGTGACAGCTGTAAAGGTTACCCCGTACTTCAGTGTTGTTATATTTTTCTGGTCCTTCGGGATCATCAATTCTAACACCTTAAAGTGTTGAAGATTGAGTACCGCCCAAGCCTGTGCTAGGAGGCGTGATCCTAAATCAAACCGAGTCTGCAAATATCAAGTAATTTTGTTGTGAATATTGCTTCCGGGGGATCACACGTTACCCAGATCTTAATATATAGGAACAACTTAAGTCACTAAATATTTCTAGCTAACGGTTAAAAAACTGTCCACCTTTGAGTTATTGTTTTGATAAAATTGTTATTATATTTTCAATAATGAAATTTGAATAACCATTAATTCAAACCTAAAGTGAAAAAATGTTTCATATTACTACTTTACATTATTAAACCCTTAATCCATTACGAGTGCTATGAACTTTTAAATTGTACGGAGTGATAATAAATGTATTGATACAAATCGTTTAAAGAAATGTGACACTAAATTCGACACAAGTTGAATTAAAAAAAAACAACAGAAAACGAATTTCATTACAAATGTTTCAGTGGTTGTTTGGCGATAATGACTGATCCGAGATAGTTTAATAGATCGCCTATAATAAAACAGATTTGTACAAAAAAATGGAGAGTTTTCTAATAACGTTAAATTTAGTTAATGTTTATGTGTTTGTTGTTTTTTCAAAGATGTTAATGTGCCATAATAAATTTGATAATGATCTCGAATATGACCCGGCACCCTAAATAGAATAAAGTGATTAAAGACATTAGATTTAAGTAACACATTTAATGACACAAACTTATGTTTATATTATATGCATTTATTCATTGTTATTATGTCCTTGCAAACAAATGTTAGTTATATCGATCTAGGCAAAAAGATTGGTCTTTTTAGTGAATGGTTGTTTATGTGAACAGATCTATTAACAAATGGTTTGATAGCATTGCTGTGTTTTACAAAGAAGAAGAACAAAATATGTCTATGATAAAAGGATAGTTCGTCACAGCTTGTCTTTCATAATGATCCATTTGCAATCAACAATATGCATACACGTAAATGGCATAACATTATTAGTTAAAAGACAATTACTGAAAAGCTGTTTGAATTGTTATAATTCCCCTTTGCGGCTAAGGTCCTGTCTTTAAGGGTTAGTGCACCAGAAATGGAGTCGCCGTTAGTCCCTACGTGACAGTTCATATAACATTAGTAATAATGTCCGTTCACCAACAGCTGGCCACACGTCATCCATACGAAGGCTATTAGAAACATTGCTTATATAATAGGTGCTTAAAGTGAAGGCTGCTTTCACGCCAAATAGGTAAAAAAAGCAGAAAGGTGAGTTACTTTCACTTTAAATGTTCCATGCACTTTCTGAAATTTACTATTTATTTGATAGGCGGACTTTATGATATTAGCATTT